TGGGGTGTGGGAGCAGCAGCCTGGAAATTCAGCCACTTGGGTACCGTCCCGTCCTAGGGCACGCTGCTGCAAGGGAGTGCTTTTTACTGCTGTGTTTGGTACTTTTGGTTCTTTTCATACTGTGAGGTTCCCTTACGTGTCCTCAGAGTGAATCATACCCCAGTACAGAATAATCAGCGACAACCAAGATTCTCTTGTTAACCAGAACTCTTCAGGCCCTGCATCACCATTTCTGAGCTACCATTCAAGGCTCCCCTCTGTTGTGGAGCGGAAGTCTTAGTTCACGGGTATTTGGGGGTGTGGGACCATGGTGACCCGAAACGGGGTGCGCTGCCCCTTCGCTCTGGAGTTCCATGTTCTCCTCTCCCTGAGCTGAGTTGGCCTAAAGAGTTCATTTCCTTTGTAATTTTTTTACAAAAATATTAAAAATCATCTCTTACGTATCTGTAAAAGAGTTTGTGGAGAACCAGCCCTACCCTGCAGACATTTTGGGGACCAGGCATAGAGAGTGGTTCTGTGAGGTCCTGAGTCTCTACCGTGTTCCTGTCAGATACAGGTAAGAGGTAGCCACTTCACCACTGGAGGTTCTCGGTAAAACATCCATCTGAATCTGCCGTCGCCACTGACTTCTCTCACTCAGTGAACTTGAAAACCATGAGGGAATGAAGAAGCGACTCTGAGCTCATTTAGTACCCACTTGAATTTTAGGGTTCTAGTCACCCCAGCCCTTTTCCATTTATGGCACGTGATAGGAGCAGCTATGCAGAAGTCCTGCAAAACTGCAAAAATCCAGATATTCCCAGAGCAAAGGGAAGCGGGAGTCAAAGAAGAATTTATTTTCACCAACCGTTTTTAGCATTAAGATCGTGCTGCTGACACAGCTACAAAATGTGTCACTGTGTGTCAGCAGCAGACCCCGGGGAGTCGGAGAAGATGGCCCCCCAGGACGAACTTCAGACCAAAACTCTCGAGAGCTCCTGCGTGACAGCCACAACTGGGTATTCTGCCGGGGGGGACGTGTAAACCATTGCTGTCTTTGTCCTCTTCCCGGTCTTCCATACCTGGGCGTGCCGCGCACACACAAAGGTGCCCGTAACCTGGTGATTCCTCCTGTTTTTCCAGCTTCTGTAACTGGCAGCCGGCCACTTCGTTACCCAGGCTATCATTCATTTTGTATCACCTTTGTCACAATACAGACGTTTGATTAGTTTCCCGATTCTGCACGATTTTATCTTTAATTGTTCCAAATCTTTCTATTTTTATGCCCTCTGCTACCACATAGTGCAGCCTTTTTCTCTTGCCCAGACTCAAGGAGTAATATTCTGGTACCCTTGCCTCTGCTCTTCCTGTCTTCTGATCCAGCCCCTCTGTCTTGTTGCCAGGTACCTTTCTAAAGCACATGTAGGGTCATTACAGCATCTAACATAGAGCAAATTTTCAGTAAATAGCAAAGTTATTTCTGGCTTAAAAATTCCATGGATTCCCATCACCGGTATTGTTAAACTTCTCTGGCAAGAAGTTAGACCCATGGCTCCACCTTCCTGATCTTACCTCCCTCTTCACCTCCCCCCAAACCCCGCCCCCAGGCATAATGTGCTTGGGCAGCAGTGGTCTATAGCCATTTCTGCATTGTCTTCGCCTTTGTTCATGTATTCTGTTCCTTCTCTCTGAAATAATCTCACATTCCTGACCAAATCCTAGTCAATGCCTAATTCCATTGTTACTTAGGTAGACTTCTGACTCGACAATTGCTCCCTGATCCTCACTTCCATTTACTTTGTTCCTTCGATTGTTTACGCATCTTGGAGCTTGGGACTGTTCCTATTCGACTGTGTTCTCAGATACAAAGTGCCACGATCCTCCAATCCTCAGTACATAATGCAAGTACTCACTAAATGTTGAGCTAATGAAGGACAAAGAAAAATATGCAGATTAGGATGGCGGGATGATTAGACATCACCTAATCAAGTGGCTTAACCGCCCTTCTACCCCGCCATGTTCTGCTTCCCCTGCCATTTCAGGACCCCTGTGGCCTGCTGCACTAGAGCAATAAGCTAGAGATCTAACGAGAGTGTAGAGTGATGGCAGAGCCCGTGGCTTTAGAGCCGTGCTAGGACCTACGGACCTGGGAAGTAACCTCTCTGATCTTGACCCTCGTTGTGCACCGGGGGTAGCGAGTGACAGCCCAGTAAGGGAATCGTGATGAGTCAACTTAGCTTCTGAAGTGCTTACACGCTGTTTTGCCTCATAGTAAGTGGTCACTATGGTTAAAATGGGGACTAGCACCCAGAGTAGCCAGGCATCGTTTTCCAACACCGAAGGGGCACAGTCTCCTACAGAAGCTAATGTGGCTAAAACTCGCTGATAGGGGTCTGACATTCCCTTCACGTTGCCTCCAGGAATGTCCCCATTCGTTCATGGCACTTCATTCAAATCTCAGGAGACTGAGTTACAATCAACTTTAATGACCTGTCTAGGCTTTTCTCAACACTAAGCCCAGTGACCAGGTGAGTGTGGAGCGAGGATCTATCACGTCCGAGGCAGTGACCCTGTCACAAAGCCGTGCCAACACCTGGCCACTCCGGGTGGGCAGCTCAGGAATGCGTGCGCGTGCGCAGTAAAGCCTAGCGCGAGGGGAGCGAGCGCCTGCGCGGAGGGGCGTGGCCGTCCGCGCCCCGCCCTCCGAGAG